GCCAAGTTTGAGCTGTCTTTGAGAAACACTGTCAAACAGAAGAACAACAGCGATCCTCCCTGCCCCCTGGAACTTGTTATCGATGGCAACAGGCTCAGCCACCCCATCCCATCACGTGGAAGGTGGATGCACACACATGTTCACACACTTCCATGAGCATTCATGTACACACATGCAAACAAATACAGAGGCTGGTCTGCCAGATGGGTTTAAGAGAAACATAGAACAACTTAGTGTTTTGTTCAACTATAAAAACAGACAAATTGTGACGGGTACTTCTGACTGTATTTTAGTTGCTAAGGTTCTTGGATTGGTGGAGGAGAAGCTGAAGAGCTGAGGCGCTAAATCCTGACCTCAGTGTTGGCCACTGGTTCCTGTTATGCTACAGAAGACTTGCATCATTTAACTAAAATTCTCTCAAAACCTTTGTTCATTTCAGACTGCACAGGGTGTCACTTAGCCCCACATACAAACTTCTTCTGGTTTCCTTTAACTCCTACTCCACCTCTCGCCCAGCGTCAGCCTGCTCTCCAAACACTGCTCCCATCAAAACTTAAAATACTGCATGTGTTTCTGAAGCATTTTTATTTGCTTTCAGATTCAGTGCACAACTACAACATTACAGCACATATGCATGCATTGTTGTACTTTTAACAATTTGCACTACAAAAACAAGGCAGATGGTGACAGGTAAAGACGTCTTCCAAGTATAGTATAAAATATATTGTCATCTCCAGGTTAAGTTTTGAGAGAAGCAGTCTGAGACACTGATTTATCAATACAATTTTGTCTTTTAAGCTATATTTTAATGTTCTACACACCTCACTGAAGGCAGTATCTCCTCTAAATACTTCTGCCAATAGGCACAGAGCTTCACCATGGATGGTCTGTTTTGAACTACCACAAACTCAGTGGAAGCTCATTCCTCTGGTATGTGTGGAGGTGGGAGAGAGTGGGAAGAAGAGACAGAGAAAGTGCAGCTGTCAGCTGATGCTAGTGGGATAGACATAGGTTGAGCAGTGACTGCATTCTCATGTAATGCTCTTGTAAATTTCATGAACACTGTGAAAGGCCACTGAGCTACTTGGGGATCATGCACACACACACACACACACACACACACACAAACACACACACAGACACTGCCTTAGTCCCTACTCAAGATGAAGAATTATAGGAGACAGACATCAGAACAAGGACAGATGAGGATGGGGTAGATGCAATGTCTGTGTGTTTGTGTGTGTGACAGGTAGCCATCAACCAGTATCCAGACAGCACACACTTGGGAACTAAAGCAACACACACACACACACATAGACACAGACTTTAAACCATCAATAATAAGACCTGGGCAGGTGGAGGAACTAAACGGTCGGAGTGATAGGTACATATAAGGAGGGGTGGAGGGTTACAAAATAAAGAATATATCCATCAACATATTGTACATGAGAGAGAATGTTAATAAATAAATTTGAAGTTACAAATCTGTTGAAAACTATGATTTGACAAGGAAAAAGTCTGTCTTGTCAGTCCTGTCTGCAGAGAGTGTAAGCAGACATCTTGCTGTAATGACAGCTGCGTCTCTCGGGCCCTGGGAATCAGACCGGTTCAGCCCACTCCAGTTTATGTGTGAACTACTGAAGCTCACTCTCTTCTCCCTGTAGTTAGTTAGTCCCGTTCCCTGGACTGGTTCATGCCTGTTTCGTCCACTTCTGGGCTACACACTTCACCACAACTGGACTAAGCTTAGCTGAGGTTAGGCTGGGTTAGCCACCTTTAGCTGAAATGATGGTGGAGCCCTCCTTGGTCTCAGTCTTCCCTCAGCTGGTAGCGGCCCTCTCGCCAGACACACGAAGGGGCAGCAGATTGGTTATAATACTCATATGAATTTATAGTTGTTGTAGCACAGATAGGCTGACTCTGAAAGCAGTGCTGTCTTTAAATAAAAAAGTGGATAAACAAAATAGCCACTCCAATGTTGAGCAGAATCACCATGACAACCAGGATAGAGCTGTAGGCCTGCGTGGGAGAGTGAGAGAAAGAGAGAAAAGGAGAGCGTGTCAGTAATAAGGACACACACAAAGCTGTTTTCACACGTACAGTAAATCTAGAATGCATAACACATGCAAATGTACACACAATTATTTGTATTCATTCTTTTACCACTGCCACAAGGCACAGAACAAGAGCCAGTCCATTTATTACCACAGTTGATCATGAATACATCAATAGACATGATATGTGGTGTAAGAGGATTACACCAGCTGAAGAGAAAGTAAAGTAAAACACAGGCCTTAAATGAACCAGTGGTCAAATGTATGTGGTAGGGTGTTTTGCTTTAATGCAAAATAAGGACCAAACTGCTGTTTTTTACATAAAGGCAACTCTCCTTTTGTTCATCTGCATATTCCTGTGAAATTGTTGGGTGGTTTTGTTGTTGAAGTCATTTCACACTTTTAATGTCACCTTCATTGGACCTTGCAAAACTACATGTGCATCAGTCATCCCACTGCTGTCAGGTGAATTCTGGTAACTATCACTTGTGGTGGAGGATGCTCTTTTACTAGTTCAGAAAATTCTACAGCTGCTGCAAAAAACGTTTAAAAATACAAATGAACTCAAACACATGCATGGTGTCAATTTAAACACAATGCTGTGACATTTTGAAGATGTTTTGCACCTGGCAGCCACAGTTTCCTCTCTATTAAATACCTGTTGGCATTGATTTCTGTGCTGCTGTGTTTTGCAGTATACTAACTTTATCTAGCCCATTTTCTTTTAAAAATACATTCACACTTGTCACTTTTTTTGTCAGGAGTTAAGAAAAGTTATCAGGGACTGTGCTTACTTGAGAGTGCTCTACAGCCAACAGAGAAGATGAAACAAAAAATCTTTGCTTAGTGTGAAGTTTAAGGACTAAGACAGAAATCAAGTCCCTGACTTATCTACAGTGAAGAAGAACTTTTAACAGCAGCTGTCAAGTGATCACAAGTATGATCAGAGCAGGAATTTCCCAACAGAGAAAAGATGTTATCTTACATCTGCTCCATAGTTCATAACCAATCAACCATAACATTATGACCACTGACAGGTGAAGTTAATAACGCTGACTAGCTTGTTATTATGGCACCAGTCAGTGTGTGGGGTATATTAGGCAGCAAGTGAACATTCGGTCCTCAAAACCAATGTGTTGGAAGCAGGAAAAACCAGCAAGTGTGATTTGAGTGACTTTGTTAAGAGCCAGACTGTGATGGCTGACAGCTGGGTTAGAGCATCTCCCAGACTGCAGGTATAGTTGGGTGTTCCTAGTCTGCAGTGGTTAGTACCAACAGTAGTCCAAGGAAGGACAAGGTCATGGGCGCTCAAGGTTTATTGATGATGAGGTTCATCTATGATACAATAAATTTTTTAATATCATTCATCCTTTTCAAACTCTTTTATTATGGTGTGGACAGGAAGAGAAATGGGGTAGGAGTGATCCTGAAGGAGGAGCTGGTGAGGAATGTTTTAGAGGTGAAAAGAGGGTCAGACAGGGTGATCAGTTTGAAGTTAGAAATCAAATCAAATCAAATTTTATTTGTATAGCACCAAATCACAACAAAAGTAATCTCAGGACACTTTACAAAGTAAGGTCTAGACCTTACTGTTATCACTATTATTACAGAGGGAAAACCCAACAAATCCCCCTTGAGCAAGCACTTGGTGACAGTGGGGAGGAAAAACTCCCTTTAACAGAAGAACCCGCCGACAGATCCCGGCTCTTGGTGGGCGGCCTTCTGCCTTGACCGGTTGGGGTGAGTGGAT